TGCCCTACTCACTGAGCCACAGGCGCCTCCCATTGCCTTTAATTCTTAATGTGGGCCTTTGGGGAACCATGTTGCAGAGATGACTCACTCCATGGGTTCTTTGGCCTCAGCACAGTCATTCCTCCTCTGCCCTGCTGGTGCCACTGAGTGGAGCCCAGAGGGTGAGGCCGGCTTGTGAGCCAAGACAGCCGCTGTCATTGTGATGTGTAAAAGCACAAAATAGTGCAGAGTGACCTTCATGGGGGGCCTGGGCCTCTCACAGACTAAGGACAGCGTCTCCCTGGCATAAGGGGGATCTTGACTGAACACTCCAGAGCAGCCTGCGAAGGAGCAGAGCGATGATGAGACGGCCTACAGAGTAATGTTTTATTTTGATTCTTAGCTAATGTTCATGGGAAAGTGAGAGATTGAGGATGTGTGTGAGGGGACCAGGAGAAGTTCAATGAGGATTTGTTGTAGCCTCTGGCAAACTGTCTGCTCCCATTGTCTTTAATAAGATCTGTTGGCCAGAAGTCCAGCCCGTTCCTCTGTTTACTGTAATTAAACCACTTCTCTGATGCCTGAGGAAAACTTTGGTTCCTCCTGCCTCAATACTTTTTATACGCATTGGCTTTGCCTTTTTTTTTTTTTTTTAATATTGAAAAAGGATAATGTCTTTATGATAGACAGGAGTTTTTGTATCTGTATGTGTGCTCTGTGATACTATAGGGAAGTCAGCAGGGGTGGAGTGAGGTGGGCATAATTCAAAAGGAATTAGAAACATAGGAAGAGATGTTGCATCTCACTAGCCATTAAGGAAATGCAGTTAACCAAGACGCTGTGTTTTACCATATGTTTGCCAAGAGCCCCAGGTTCTTCTTGCCCTGCTTAGGGGTGAGCCTCAGGTCCAGGCACCCAGTAGGTGCTCTTCCCATGCATGCAATGAATGAGGTGGACGGGCGGGGGAGGGGCTGACCCAGGTCTTTCTGTAGTCAGCTGTTAACGACCCTGGGGGGAAATAGTTTGATAAAATGTCATAAGCCTTAGAAATGTTTACCCTGGTGATCTGCTAATCCCTCTGCTGAGCATCTGCCCTGAGGACATACCCTTTACTCAGGGAAAAGTGGCTGAGTCTAGATACCAAAGTCCTTAGAGAAGCAAAACGCTGGAGCTGACTGGCCTAAATGTGCAGCCACCAGGGACGGTTAACAGCAGAGTATGTTGTAGTTTAAGCCTTAAAATCTTAATGTGTAGCTACTTTAATATCTCAAATGATGTTTAAGAGTATCCAGTGGTGGCTCGGCGCCTGTGGCTCAAGCAGCTAAGGTGCCAGCCACGTACATCTGAGCTGG